AGCAGCCAAATCACCAGGGACAGTCAGAGAGAAAACCCTCTAGAGAGATAGTCAGAAGCCCAATCACCAGCCACCAGTCCAACAACCTGTGACAGCCAGGTAGACATACCCCCAAAAGGGGACAGCAGTCCAGCAGATTTGGAACAGGGAGGTGCATTTTCTAGCAGAGAAAGGCAACTAACAAACGGAGACAGTCATGGAGATACACCACTATAGGAAGAGACAGCAGCAAAGCAGATTGAGACATTCAAGGATAATCTGCCTAACACAGTGAGGAAAACCAGAATGTGAGAAATAAAACAATCTAATGTAGTAAATAATCCCCATTTTAATGAGAGAGTAGTAAAACAATATGGGTGCACAGTTCTAAAAGTGGAGCAATCAGTTAGGATATTCCATTGATTTCTATGGTAACTGCACCACTTTTAGAACTTTGCCACAGAATTTCTCTTATGCATAACACTCAATGACTCAGAGCAATACATAACTGCAGAGAAACAGCAATGTTACCCAGTGCCGAGACAGTCAGGGACACACACCTTCATTCAGACACATCAGAACAACTGAGCATCTTAGACACACCTTCACAGAAAATCTAACTAGAAAGAGGAAGTAGCAAAGCGACCTGAGAGAGTCCAGGAGAAACAGCTGCCACAGACACACAAGGATAGAAAAACAAGATTTTACTAGCCTGAAATATCACACTGAGAGCCAGAGGAACAACTCTCAAGTGCAGGTTTGAAATTGCAAGACAGCACCTTGAGACAAGAGTAGCACCTCATCCAAGATAGTACGCGGGGTAAGGCAGCACTAAATCATTCCCGAACGCATCTCTTCAGTCATCAACATGATCGTTGGTCCTTTAGGAATTGTTGTATGTTCAGCTTTCCCGATCTCCTCTGTTGTCTGTTCCCATTCCATAGAGAATCGGCACAGCCATCACTAGGCACATTACCAAGGGTAGACCTACTCCCCAAATCACAGGCATTTCACAGCATTCATCTTCTACCTCCAAATTTGCCAAAACTGCACAGGTACCATTCTATATCCAGGAGACAGAACACCATACATAATATTGGATAATATAATATATATCTCTAAATCAGAGTTTGCTTTTTTTTTATGCAAGTAAAATTAATTAAAAAAAAGGTTTATTTACGTTTAATTATATTTAAAACTCCAAACTATTTTGCAGAGCTGCACTGTGGAACAGGACATTATTTATTTATTTATTTATATATACGCAAAATACAAAATCCAGCGAACTCGCTTATTCACTAAACAATGATTTAAAATCTCACAAATTGTAATAGTTTTATTTAAAAACACCTCACCTAGGCAAAAAATGATGGGGGTTTAGTTGCATTATATGATCATATATTGCATAAGTCTGCCACAACGTCAAACCTCATGGTTTCATATATATATATTTGTATTGGGTTAAATATTTATTTTAAGATATATGGAGTTAATTCCAAAGCCCATTCTACTGCAAGTACTGTCATGCTAAATATGTGCAATTTCGGTGAGGACAAATGAACAGCCGTCGTAACTATGTACTGCATTCTGTGTGTTTCCCAGTTGATGATTTCATTTTTATTAAGACCTCTCTTAAATTCAGGTTTTATGAACAAACAACAACAAAGTATAGGGCCCAAGGGTTAATAAAGTGCAGGTTTTGATAAACCCTAGGATCCAGAGAGCACCTGAATGTGTACTAAGGTCTTGAGTGGTACTTCTGGCTACGGGACTATGCACAACTTGATGATGGTGAACACTCTTAATGCTTCACTATAATACTCTGTTGTTCAATGTCTAATTTGACCAGTTAAAGGCTCCTTTTAGAGTGTCCCTCATATTTACGTTAACCCTCATGGTAACGTCAAAACGAATCAAAAAACCCCAAAAGTCATGCAAGAAGATTTATAACTGTGAACAAAATGCTATCTTTGGGTTCTGGGACATCAAAAAAAAAAAAGACTTGATTTTCTGACTTGTGGTTTCTTATGATGTCTCCAGAACCCCTTAAAGGCGTTATATTTCCCGAACACATGGTATCCTCTTTTCTACATGTTGCTTCATTGGTAGATTATGGTAGAATGCAAATGATCTCGTACCATGTAAATATATATTTTAACTAAGAGGTGGAGGACGCATACTAATAGTTAATTTTATTTAATAAACCAGGTCAGCTGGCAAAACTCTACAACTCATCAATACAGCTTGCATTTTTGTCCTAAATTTAGCAATTCCCTTGTCCTCTCACTACAGTTTGCAGGCTAGGAATTAACCCCAAATGTCATGAATGTTTAAGTCTTTATTTAAGGGAATGCACACTGGTAAACTACTACAGAACCAGAACTTGTCATTCCTTTATCATGTATTTGTCTTGTCAGCTGGGAAACATTTTCAGCGTAAAGCCTTTCTGTTTGTAGTTGTTTTTTAAAAGATCTCTGAACAAGCACTGTTAAAATAAATTAAATACTTAGTTGTCTGTTTTACTTGTATTTGACAGGTGTTAAACATCCTAGATTGGTATTAACCCCTTAACCCCTTAAGGACGGAGCCAAATGTACACATTGTGAACAAAACAAAATGTAAACAAAACCTGGCATTTGCGCTACATGTCTGTCCAACCGTAATACACCTCTTTCATAGTAAATGCACCCACCCTTATTATATATCATTTTATTCAGGGGAAACAGGGCTTTCATTTAATATCAAATATTTAGCTATGAAACATAATTTAATATGAAAAAAATGGGAGAAAATACGTTTTTTTTTATTTTTTTAGTTCTACATGACATTTTAACGATCAATGTCATAATACTGTTTGCTTTTACTGCAATAAAATACACATATTTATATTCAGTAAAGTCTCACGTGTAAGACAGTACCCCCTATGTACAGGTTTTATGGCATTTTGGGAAGTTACAGGGTCAAATATAGCACGTTACATTTGAAATTGAAATTTGCCAGATTGGTTACGTTGCCTTTGAGACTGTATAGTAGCCCGGGAATGAAATTTACACCCATAATGGCATACCATTTGCAATAGTAGACAACCCAAGGTATTGCAAATGGGGTATGTCCAGTCTTTTTTAGTAGCCATTTGGTCACAAACACTGGCCAAAGTTAGCGTTAGTATTTGTTTGTGTGTGAAAAATGCAAAAAATGCCAATTTTGGCCAGTGTTTGTGACTAAGTGGCTACTAAAAAAGACTGGACATACCCTGTTTGCAATACCTTGGGTTGTCTACTATTGCAAATGGTATGCCATCATAGGGGTAATTTTCATTCTTGGGCTACCATAGGGTCTTGAAGGCAACATAACCAATCTGGCGAATTTTAATGTGAAAAAACTGAAATGCAAGCCTTATATTTGACGCTGTAACTTTTGAAAACACCATAAAACCTGTAAATGAGGGGTACTGTTGTACTCGGGAGACTTCGCTGAACACAAATATTTGTGTTTCAAAACAGTAAAAAGTATCACAGCAATAATATTGTCCGTGTAATGCTGTTTGCGCGTGAAAAATGCAAAAAACGTCACTTTTACTGGCGATATCATCGTTGTAATACATTTTACTGTTTTGAAACACTAATATTTGTGTTCAGAGAAGTCTCCCGAGTAGAACAGTACCCCCCATGTACAGGTTTTATGGTGTCTCGGAAAGTTATAGGGTTAAACATAGTGCTAGCAAATTAAATTCCCTTTACTTTCGGCATGGGTTGTCAGGCAGGTCCTGCTAATTGTAATTAATTAAGATACCTAATTATGTAAAAATATTACATAAATATATATGTATAATTAATATATGTATATATATACGTATGTGTATATATATGTATATATCTATATAATTTTTTAAAAATATTTTTATTTATATATAGGTATATATATAGTGATATATAAGTATATATTTATGTATATAGATATATATATTATTTCGTTCTACATGTATTTTGATATATATATATATATATATTAATTTCACAAAACAGTTAGAACGAAATAACACACATCTATATATTTTTTAATTATTTATTTTTAATTATTTTTTTAATTTTATTTTTTAACGTA